AGTACAGAAAAGTCGACATTCCAGGAAGGTTCTGTATTGCAACAAACAAACGAGACAACACATGTACACTTCTGGATGGTGGCATCATAGAGGTTCACAGCATTGCATTTTCATGCTTGTCCAAGAAGCCAGTGCTTGTTGGAAGGAGGTACTCTGTAGTAGAGGATCTGTACACATATCCATGCCGGTCGTCGCTTCTTAATATTTCTCTAGTTTCTTGCCCACACACAGTGTCATCATGGCCCCTACAAGATGTGGCGTTCAAATGTGTTCGACTGCCTCTGGGTGACAAGTTTGCAGTCTACCCACTGTTGCATCTCAATTGAGCTATGTTAGACGAGTTCTGGGATGCTATATTTGGCTTTGCTGTTACCTTTTCAAAAAGGCCACAGGAGCGACGATGTCGCTGCTGACGTGTCCGATTGGTTAGAGTTGCGCACTGGTAGATGTCTTAATATGCAACATTTCATCTTTCTCAGAGAAACCATTTATTATCGCAAAGTTTCCCGATGAAGAGAATGGTGTGGCACTCATACATGAGAGCTGGTTAGACGGGGACATCTGCTATTGGCCAAAGGACACTGGAAAGATTCAATCCTTGGTCAAAAACGGTGAGCAGCCGACGTCCGAGTGGCGGCGACTTCGATGCATTCCCATTGGATGGTTTGGTGAGTATTTACTCATAGATTCATAGATTATTCCATTTCCACTTAGTGTTATCAGTCACTGTGAGGCTAACAATTTATTTTATCTTGAATCAAGTCTGTATTAGCACAGATGCCAACTGGATGAATATGTTTCTTATGGGGTTTTTTTGCCGCACCCGTGCACATGCTTTCACGAATGAAGCAATAAACTGTTTTTTTTATAATACTTAAAACAGAGTTTTAATAAGGCAGACTTGTGCCTACAAAATAAAAACAAAACAATTAACCCATACATCCTTTGACGGTGGTGGCACTACGCAGCCACGTGAAGTCCCTTTTGTAACCGCACTGCCTCCTGGCAGATTCGGTCTAGAAAGTTCGGTCCTCAAACATTCTGATCCCCAAGAAATGGTAAGATTTTCGATTTTACTAGAACATTACAGCAATGGGAAGAGGTAAAACGATAGCAGGTTTCAGGATTCGAGCCACGGGCGTGGAAGACGGGTTCATGCTGACTCAGCTGCGCTCGCGTCAACATGTTTGCTGTAGGCACTTTCAATTGGGGGCTTTTCTTGGTACAAGATATATAATGCCAAATTTGAACATGATGTATAATCATTGCATATACTTACGGCCTTTATGGAGCGACATCTAACTGCCATTCAATATTCTTCAGCATCATATGACCATGCACGGAAGAGGCTTCCTGAGGCTGAGGAGTTGTCAGACCTCTACAGTGAGATTGAACAGCCGAAGAGGCGGCGTAGGCGAGCCAGGCGCTATAGCACGGACTCACTCTGATGACAGCTACCAGTTTGCTGTATCCTTACCACTGCCATCGCCACCAGCATCTGCCTCGCCGTTGCATCCAAAGCAACGTCCTGATCGTAACACAGGTGACATAATTTTGTAAGCAACCGAAAATTAACCAAGTGTAACAGTTAATAGTCTTTTTTAATCACTGATTTTTTTTTTCTTGTAGAGCTACTAAACCGATCAACTCTATGTGGTACTCAAGACAGGAGCCACAACCAGGTCACAAAGGCCCGTCTAGGTCATTATTGCTTTTTATTTAATCCAAAAAATTGCCCTAGTTAAATGGAGTTGCACGTTGTATATCCTATGATTAATGCAGCACAATATATTGTTATTTTGTTAACCCCAACTCGAAACAGAAACACCCATCTTTAAATTCTTTAGCTACCTTTATGCATAAAGATTGTTGCTGACAATGCATCTAACATACTCCAGAGGTCTGTCTTAATTTGAGTCGGCCTATAGTGTCAAGGAGGTTAGTCATTCCCTTGGGAAAGGTATAGAACGCTTCATGTGACGTGTGCTTTTTTCTTTATAGCATGACATTAAATATTAGTTAAAATATTTTCAGTGTGAATGCATCACGGGAGTATATTTAAAATGCATCACTATAATAAATGGCATTTTGTGGCCTCTGTTGAAAAGGAGGTTGGCAATGTTGCTTCTGCATTTTTCCAATCTTATCAACTTCATTGTATCATGGCATGAATGCTGAGATTCAAGACGTCATGATTTGCTTTAGAAAGGTAAAAAGTTTCTTTTTCTTTGTTTGGCATGTAGATCAGTTCAGGAGACACAAGACTGCCAGATCAGAGTCAGCTCTTCAGTGCAGAGATCCTCAAGCAAGTGACAGCGCCATGCCAAGTATGTATTGGACTGGCCTTATAACCCTTCCGCTGTTGGCCTTCATATTTCGTAGAAATATGCGTTTCTACTGTATTCTGATACAGCAACCAATAGTGTGGCCAGATAGGAATTGGGGATGTGATGGAACACAGGTTTAGTAACTGCCGAGGCAAACAGACAGCTGCAACAAAAGAAACTACAGATAGAATTTAAATAGAGCTAACTAAAACTATGGTCATTTTGTTTGTTTTCTTTGCAGGCTGTTCCACAGCAGGAAGTGATTTCAGGCAGGAACCCCCCATTTTAGTGCTGCAACAGGGTTGGTGCCACTCCAAAATGAGCCTCAGGCAACTCGTTCCGATCATGTCACTCCAAGTAAGCAAAATGAGAACTTGCTGTTGCTGTAGCTCCTTTGTGTTCTGAGGATTTGCAGTCATCTAGGCCATAGCACCATAAAAGTTAAAGATTATTAATTAGTCTATCCCAGCCATGCCCTGCTATATAATATCTTTCTGCTCAGTCAAGGTTTTACAGGTATTGTCTACCCGGCCATGTCCTGCTTTATTAAAGGAGCTGTGCAACAGTTTCAGTGCTTTGCTTAACTAATGTGGAAGTTGGTGTCTCGGCATTTCTGAAGTAAAGAACAAAAAAAAACGCATTCGCCTGCATGCCCTAGTTTTAATTTTAAAAATGGACAAAGATTGAGGTTTTCGGCGCCTCTCAACTCATTCACTATCTTCCGAGTCAAGTGCACTGTGACGTCAATGGGAAGGCGCGGGGTTCCGGTGAAGCTCTCTTTAGAGCCATCAGTGAGCGGCGAGAACTCATCCGCTTGCTCGTGACCACGTGCTGACGCGCGCAGAGCGAACAATATGGTGAGAGGAGGAAAGTTTCATCACTACCCATCCCGCCATGTCCCCCTCCCCCTCCGGCTTCTGGCGGCTGTTCGCGGTACCAGGTAGAGCCGACGGTTTTGTGGACCTTGGATAGATGGCGCCACTAAAGCTCCATATAATAAAAGTTTTGTCGATGATACGAGGGTTTTGGCGCATTTATATTTATGTTGGAACAACAAGATTTATAGAAAAGTTACCTTTTATCGAGCAGGTATTCGCACAACTTTCTATCTTTCTACAAGATTCCCCATTGACGTCATGCCGCGTGTTTCTCAGATGGCCGCCTCAAGCGGCTGCAGTTCAGAAACATCTTGATTGTGGTATCAGAATACTTTTACCTTCGAACAAAAGATTCCTTCGTACCAAATTTGCAGCAAAAAGTGGAACTGAGAAAACTGCATTCAAACATTGAACTCTTTTACTTTGTCACTGCCTCACAATCTGTTGAAAATATTTTATATCAACGGAACTATTTGGCACATAGTTATGAAATTTAGTGTACGGGTGTATAATTAGTTTCTAAAACCAAAAACCTCAAAATTTAAAACGGAATTTTTTCAAAAAAATTTTGAAACTTAGGCCCATGTCCCCTCTTAAGCTTTTCCAGCTCTTCACTGACTTTCAAAAAATTTAAACCCCTCATTGTTACAGATTTTTTCAAGGAGATCTTGCGCCTACTGCACGTCATCCAATTCAAGCTGAATGAACATGCACTGAAGTTAGAGTTGCTAACCACCCTGGTCTCGAACAGCAACGACGAGAACATTCTTGTCTCAGGCGAATCCTTTGGGCCCTTCAATGAACTCGCAACGTTTTTAGACTTTGATGCTTCTGTGGCAAGCTCCGAAGAGAAAAAAAAACGGCTGGTGAGTCTACTTATATAACTTAAGTCTGCTCTTCGACTGCTATTGACAATTTACCCTATATAAAGTGAATAGCCACTTGCACTAACCTTCATTTTAACATATTTGTAAGCACTAAAAACATATCTGCACAGTAGGAGCGTTAAACGGGTTAGAGCAGTTTTAATCAATAGGCCAATTATGGTTTTAGTGGCTTTGAGTATACTGCACGTGGCATACAAGTGAACAAAAATGCACCTTGTGCATGAGAATGTTAGCACGAGCTCGTAAAAGATGAGAATATAAAGAAAAGAAGGCATGCTCAATGGGAAATGCCAAGAATGCTCAAGAAGTGCGCTTTCAGAATGCACCATGAGTAGTGGATACATGGCCAACTAGCGGACAATCTTGCTCACTGTATTGATTGTATTTATTTTAGGGTCCAGCTCTATTGATTCATAGCTTTCATTTTGTAAGATTATGCTGAAATAATGTACGTTAACAGCCGACGACCAGACTCGAGGTTCTGCAAGGCAGAAGATCCTCCTCACCATGGGGAAAAAGAAACCGGCAGCAGTGGGCAGGGTAGAAGGGTGGAGAGGAGCAAGCGGGGCAGAAGTGGAAAGCGCGAACTGGTCGTCGGCCTTTAAGCAAGAAAATTATTTTTGAAAGATATTGGGGTGGTTATGCCGGATGTGTAGTCAAGACGGAAGGGCGTTAGTCTCCCATGTTTGCTACTTGGAAGAGACCTTGTGTCCATTCATTCCGCTAGTAGATTGTGCAATCGCTTCATCTTTTGCCTAGCAGCTAACATTGAAGCAGATGGATCGACTACTATTTGTAATGTGAATGCATTGCAGTGTAGCGGAAAAAGCAGTGGTGAACTAGAATACCTTGGGCTTACAATTCAAATAAAGTCAGAAACTGAACTTTTATGGGAAGTAAAACAACCATAGAACTCCTATTTTAGACAATTTTAAACTTATAGCTGAATACTAATATGGGGTGGAATTCCGTAGTTTTTCATGCTGAAATTACATGGTTGTTCAATGTCAGATGGTCTCCTGGGGCAAGTACGGGGGTTCTTCTGGACCTGACATGACAAGGAGAATTCTCGTTGGACTGCTTTCCGACGACATCGCTGTTCAGTACAGCTTCAAGGGGGGTAAAGGCAAGCGCAAGTTTAACGAACTCGCCTGCTGGGAAATCATTAAAGGTAGGCCTTTCAAAACCATCTTTTCCATTGTGTTAGTATGTATATTAACAGTAAGCGTGCACAATATGAATGCCAATTTACCTGCAAATGTGAATGCTTTGTTACGGAAGTGTTACTGTTGTGCTTTTAAGCAGGATTCACACAAGGGACAAGTCCCCACCAACTGTGGGGAATGTGTACCGCTTTACGAAAACGTCGCCCTTTCCTGCACTAGCGTGGTGACATTGGCACTTCTCCGGGGATGGAAGAGCATTTTATTGGGCGGCATGAATGATACCCGCTTGATGATGGAAGTCGTCATGCTTAGTGGTGTTTGGTTAGTTCATCTGACAGCATGACACAGCATGTTCTCTAGGGTGAGAATGGCTGCAGCAAAATCGGTGCTGAGAGGAGCCGACAAATTTGCTTCTCAAGCTCCCCGTTTGGTTTCCCGACACTGTGAGGGAGAGGCTAGATGGGATAGAGCACTGCATATGCTACTGAAGGTAGCAGGGTTGCGCCTTCCTTTAATCAAGGGCTTCGCTGACGGATCGACCCTGTTCCTTGCCTTCTCCAACAAAATTTGCAGACATCCATCAGTTCGAGAGAAATGAGCAAGGCAAGCGCTCTTCGTTGGTCGAAGCTGGTCACGTGTGTGAAATTGTCTACTGGTCACGTGTGTGAAATGTCTACTTGAAATTGTCTACTCGACCTGGGTCGTTTTTAACTAAAAATGCGGCAACTGTATTTGCACCAAGATTTAAGTTTAATAAGACTGTGTTTATAAAACATCCACATTATGTTAATATTAGTCTTAACACTGCACATTTAGTAGTAACAAGGGAAAGAGGTTTTTTTTTCCCGATTCCCCATGCATTCCCAAACGGAGTTCTGTCTAACGTGGCAGTCGCTGAGATGTCGAACTCAAGTTTGCGCTACTCACTTCCTTCAGGGGCATATATGGTGGTGGCTCTGTGGTTCGGAGGTCCCGACGGCTGTTGACTTCATGCTTTCGTATTGTTTCAGAAACTGTTAAAGCGCAGGGTAAGCTTTCTGGTGCCACGGATTATGATGTCGAACAAACAGTTAAGTCATGGTTGGCCCATTCAAAGGAGAGACTGGACAAAGCAGCCAAAAGTATGTTAAAATATATTTTTTTGATATTAATAATTATTCAATCAACATATTAAATGTGACAAGCGTTTAATACAGCTGTGATATTAATCTGTAAACTCATCTTTCAAACATATTTTTTATGACGGATAGTCTTTGGTTTTATCCAGTTAATTACAAGTTAGATTAATGTAAAATACTATTTGCAGAATTATCAGAATCAATGCTTTTAATGTTTTGTAATGGAAACAACAAGAAAGTAGATCTGCAAGAGTATCAAATCATTCTATTTGTTCTTTAAGTGTTAGCTGTATACTGGAACATGTTTGAAAAATAAGTCTCTCAAGCATAAAGACACTATATCGCTATTGTTAATGAATGAATCCTCAAAGTTTACTGGAATACTGATATGAGTACTGATTAAAAATTGCAGCCCAGCATTACGTGAAAATGTTTCAAAAATTTGTTTCTGGAAATCATTGTTTTTGTTTTTAAGTCACTCGTTTTCCAACTGCAACAAAGACAACTTTTGAACCTCATATTAATCAGTTACTTGACAGGTTAGTTCCAAATGTTTCTGGGAACAAAGGGTACAGGGATAGCCCACTAAAGGTTCCTTTGTCCTTCCTTACTTTAAAGAAGTTGGTATGTCTGTGCCACCAAGCCCGACTGCCTAGCATGTCTTCCGCAAGCAGGTAGCTCCAGAGGTAAGGGATGCTTTTGACAGAAACTGCCAATATTTTTGTTTCTCACGCGAGAGTTCTAGTCACTGTGCAATATGTTTATTTGGAGCCAAACAGTCTCAATGGTTATCTATAAGTTGGCAGGTCTATGGAAACGAAATGATTGATGGAGATTAAGTGTTCGGTGATGTTCTGTTTAAAAGTCCTTTCTTCGCTTACTTTCTTTTCAGATTTTGGTGTTACTTCTTCGCCATTAGCCCAATACAGGAGCAGGTAGCTCCAGAGGTAAGGGATGCTTTTGACAGAAACTGCCAATTTTTTTTTTTTGTTTCTCACGCGAGAGTGCTAGTCACTGTGCAATATGTTTATTTGGAGCCAAACAGTCTCAATGGTTATCTATAAGTTGGCAGGTCTATGGAAACGAAATGATTGATGGAGATTAAGTGTTCGGTGATGTTCTGTTTAAAAGTCCTTTCTTCGCTTACTTTCTTTTCAGATTTTGGTGTTACTTCTTTGCCATTAGCCCAATACAGGAGCAGGTAGCTCCAGAGGTAAGGGATGCTTTTGACAGAAACTGCCAATTTTTTTTTTTTGTTTCTCACGCGAGAGTGCTAGTCACTGTGCAATATGTTTATTTGGAGCCAAACAGTCTCAATGGTTATCTATAAGTTGGCAGGTCTATGGAAACGAAATGATTGATGGAGATTAAGTGTTCGGTGATGTTCTGTTTAAAAGTCCTTTCTTCGCTTACTTTCTTTTCAGATTTTGGTGTTACTTCTTCGCCATTAGCCCAATACAGGAGCAGGTAGCTCCAGAGGTAAGGGATGCTTTTGACAGAAACTGCCAATTTTTTTTTTTTGTTTCTCACGCGAGAGTTCTAGTCACTGTGCAATATGTTTATTTGGAGCCAAACAGTCTCAATGGTTATCTATAAGTTGGCAGGTCTATGGAAACGAAATGATTGATGGAGATTAAGTGTTCGGTGATGTTCTGTTTAAAAGTCCTTTCTTCGCTTACTTTCTTTTCAGATTTTGGTGTTACTTCTTCGCCATTAGCCCAATACAGGAGCAGGTAGCTCCAGAGGTAAGGGATGCTTTTGACAGAAACTGCCAATTTTTTTTTTTTGTTTCTCACGCGAGAGTGCTAGTCACTGTGCAATATGTTTATTTGGAGCCAAACAGTCTCAATGGTTATCTATAAGTTGGCAGGTCTATGGAAACGAAATGATTGATGGAGATTAAGTGTTCGGTGATGTTCTGTTTAAAAGTCCTTTCTTCGCTTACTTTCTTTTCAGATTTTGGTGTTACTTCTTTGCCATTAGCCCAATACAGGAGCAGGTAGCTCCAGAGGTAAGGGATGCTTTTGACAGAAACTGCCAATTTTTTTTTTTTGTTTCTCACGCGAGAGTGCTAGTCACTGTGCAATATGTTTATTTGGAGCCAAACAGTCTCAATGGTTATCTATAAGTTGGCAGGTCTATGGAAACGAAATGATTGATGGAGATTAAGTGTTCGGTGATGTTCTGTTTAAAAGTCCTTTCTTCGCTTACTTTCTTTTCAGATTTTGGTGTTACTTCTTCGCCATTAGCCCAATACAGGAGCAGGTAGCTCCAGAGGTAAGGGATGCTTTTGACAGAAACTGCCAATTTTTTTTTTTTGTTTCTCACGCGAGAGTTCTAGTCACTGTGCAATATGTTTATTTGGAGCCAAACAGTCTCAATGGTTATCTATAAGTTGGCAGGTCTATGGAAACGAAATGATTGATGGAGATTAAGTGTTCGGTGATGTTCTGTTTAAAAGTCCTTTCTTCGCTTACTTTCTTTTCAGATTTTGGTGTTACTTCTTCGCCATTAGCCCAATACAGGAGCAGGTAGCTCCAGAGGTAAGGGATGCTTTTGACAGAAACTGCCAATTTTTTTTTTTTGTTTCTCACGCGAGAGTGCTAGTCACTGTGCAATATGTTTATTTGGAGCCAAACAGTCTCAATGGTTATCTATAAGTTGGCAGGTCTATGGAAACGAAATGATTGATGGAGATTAAGTGTTCGGTGATGTTCTGTTTAAAAGTCCTTTCTTCGCTTACTTTCTTTTCAGATTTTGGTGTTACTTCTTCGCCATTAGCCCAATACAGGAGCAGGTAGCTCCAGAGGTAAGGGATGCTTTTGACAGAAACTGCCAATTTTTTTTTTTTGTTTCTCACGCGAGAGTGCTAGTCACTGTGCAATATGTTTATTTGGAGCCAAACAGTCTCAATGGTTATCTATAAGTTGGCAGGTCTATGGAAACGAAATGATTGATGGAGATTAAGTGTTCGGTGATGTTCTGTTTAAAAGTCCTTTCTTCGCTTACTTTCTTTTCAGATTTTGGTGTTACTTCTTCGCCATTAGCCCAATACAGGAGCAGGTAGCTCCAGAGGTAAGTCATGCTTTCGACATTGCTGGCGCTTTTTTCCTCTCGTGAGAGCCCCAGTCACTATAACTCAGCAAACGTTAATAGGGAGACACATTTCCCAAGTATATAACAGTATTGAAGATGGTTGCTCCATCGTCAAACTTTTTAATAAGCCAAAAATTTACATTTTGTATATTTGTTTTGTACTGAGTATAGTATTCACAAGCAAAGCTGAAGTATCCTACTCATACTAATAGAGGGGATACTTATGATGCCTCTGCAACCTCCAAACCCTAATGTTTATTAAGGTGGCGATACAGGCGAGTTGTTTCATGGCAAAAACAAGGAACTGCACAAAAACACAAGACAAGTGGAAGAAGTAGACTGGACAAGTGCTGACTGACAACTAAAAGTTTATTGAAAACACAAAAAACACACGAGCAAAAGAAACCACCATCAAAAACACAAAAGCAATCAAACAACCAAAAAAGCATGCAGTAAAAGCAAGCACGATAGACCATCATCAATGAAAGCTTGAAAATTATAGCTCTTTGTTTTTTTGTTTGTGTTTGCTTTTGGATTTTGGATGGTGGTTGCTTTTGCTAGTGTGTTTTGTGTTTTCAGTGAACTTTAGTTGTCAGTCAACGCTTGTTCCGTCTACTTCTTCCACTTATCCTGTGTGTTTTTTGCGCTGTTTCTTGTTTTCCTAATGTTCAGTTGTAAACGCGAAACATTTCTGGTCGAACCCTGTAAATGTCGATCAGTGGGTCGGTCGTACCACATAAAAACAATATAGCAGGCAAAATATTAGGCTATGGTTATTAGGCAAATTATTTGGCTATGGTTACTAGGCAAATTATTTTCCTAAAACTAGCGGGCAAAAAAGAGTCCGTAATCTAAAGGGAAAAGAATTTCACAACACATAGCTTGCATGTAATCCGCGCCAGTTATGGTACGAATACCAAACAGACGACGGGCGCTGTATATTTTTTTTAGAACCAGAGACGCGCTAAATAATTTATACAGATTCCGCAGAGCAGTTGCACGCACTAATAATACCATTGCCCTAGGTCTTAGGCACGTGGCTATCATCTTAGTGTAAGGCATGAATTTGCAATTATTGTACTAAAACTGTAAAATGGTTTGCATTTCAACGAAAATCTAAGCAGCAATTTCGGCAGATGTTTTTTCAAGTGGTTATATTGACATAAAACCAAGTGTGAGGAAATGTCATTAAGAGTTTTTTTTTTTTTTTTTTTTCAGCGACATCTTTGAAGAATTTTTACGCCTAAGACGTTGTTACTAGTCATACGTTTAATAAAGCAACTTGGGAAAGATCGGTGCACTGTCCTGGTATTTCCTTAAAATGTACTACAGTCATCCGAAAAGATTTGTCACGTGGCTCCATAGGATATGCTGGGACCTCCTTAAAATGTCCTCCAGTCATCCATAAAGATCTGTCATGCAGCTCCTTAGGATATGCTGGGACCTCCTTAAAATGTCCCGCAGTCATCCTTAAAGATTTGTCACGTAACACCCTGGGATAAACTCAAAGTGGCCATTTCGATATCCTGAGAATGTCCCTGGATTATCTTTGCAAATATTCGCATTTCCCAGGGATATCCAAATATCTTGAAAGGATCACCCAGGGATGTACGTCGAATGTACTTGTGTTGTCTGGGCAATTATCTTCTTAGGTATTTTTTTTATTTTTTAGGACAAAAATTTGAAGTTTGGCCTTTAATTAACTGATTCAGAGTACTGTTCTTGCTCGTTCTGTTCAATAAATGTTTTGGCTGGTACTTTCTGTCTGCTCTTCTGTGAAAATAATTCAAACTTTTTTGTGTGTGTTGGTATCATGGTTTTCAAGGAGCCTGAGCAGCATCCGTCGCAAGCCTGTTCGACAGTTGCATGGGTGACCCAAAAAAGCCAGTCAGCTATCAAGCAACGTCTAAAGGCCCGTTCACACTCTTGCGACCGAGTACGACTGAGAGAGACGAGATCTCTTACAACTTCTTAAATGTTTCTAGAATGAGGGAACACACTGACATTGTGGCGCCATCTATGCGGTGACCCTAGAACTGCATTTCACAAAAGCGAAGGTTTTGCGGGATTTCCGAGGTCAAATGTGCGTAATACCCATAGAAAGGCTCGTTTATAACATTGACAAAAAGCTTTTCGAGCCAAAAAAGAAAGGATATTGCGCGAGAAATAAAAAGAATATGCAGGACCGCCGAGTTTACACTGCTTCCCAGTAGATGGCACCAGTGTGTTCTCTGGTTTAAGAAGTTTTAAGGAACCCAGGTTTAAGAGGTCGCAAGCAGTCGCAAGAGTGTGAACGGGCCTTAATGGTATTTTGGACACATGGTGCCCTGATAACATGCAGCAAACATTAAAAAAGAATAAGCACCCCAGGCAAATGAAATCAGCTGTATGTTCTTAGCAGTCGTGCAAAATTTGTCACTATATTTTTCATTGTGACTAATTCTGTAAAATAAATTAAGTCAGCTCTTTAAATATTGATGATATAAGAGCTGAACTGTGATGAGCAATGTTGTAAAGGATCATGAGAAACCTACAATTATACTGTCTAAAACAAGGTGTGGTTTCTGTATAGTCCTATTTACAAAACAAAAAATGCCTTAGAAATTTTGAAACGCCCTTTGATCATCCACCTTCCAATAGCGGTCCATGTGCCTTGGTTCATGGGTGTTTTTTCTTGCCTTCCAAAGAGGACTAGTCAAAGCACACACTGTTGTAAACATCATAATTGGTCATTTCTCATGACATTCTAAAGACTTCAAATCTCACTTGCTCCTAGACCAATAAATAAAAAGTTGATCAATTTTACCTAATTAGTTAATTAACCACAATGAAATAAATAGTGACATTTTCTGAAGATGACTGCATCAAAAAAGAGTTGCTTTTATCCGTCTAGAGCGTTTCATTATTTTATTGAAGTTCGCTGCATGTTACCTGGGGCACCTGTATATATATTTCTGTACTTCATTATTGATCAAACGCTTCCCTGACGATATGCATTGACTCGACAGGTGAGGTGCCTTTGTCTCAGAAAGCTCCCCATGCAGTCCTTAGGGCCGGCAGCTCAGGATGTTCTCAGGACATAATGGGTCTGGACAAAAAGACCATTTGAGGATCATTCGAGACTCTTTCAGGATGTCCTCGGGACTACCCACCATCCTGGACTCGACATCCACACATCCTCAGGATGCCATTGCGTTGACAATGGGTTGAAGATTCCTGTCACCCCGTTGGCCATGCCTGTGACTTGAGAGCGACAATAGGCCATTTGCGTAATTTGCAAGCATCAAGGAGCAGGCTGGTTTTGCTCAAAAAAATTGGCTGCATCATCCACTACCCCTGGACCCATGTTGTAGCTTCCCTGCAGTGTTTCCCTTGGCACCAATAAGCAAAAGTTCAGTTTTGCTAATTGGTGCTTTGAGCCATCCCCAAAGTTCGCTTCACCTAAACATATGAAGTTGTCCCTTTTACCAATTTGCAGCTTGCCTGCAGTGCTCCTATAAACGCAAATGAGCAAACTCCACCTTGTGCTTCTTGGTGCCACACTGCTCATTGAAGCTCAGTGAGTTTGATACTGTTCCTCAATGTGAGTGGGCTTCCAGTTTCCAGCAGGGCACGGAGATCCGATACGAGCAGTTGGGATGTTTTGATTTTTATTATAGAGTCAGTGCTGTTTCCGGAGCCACACATCATTTGCTAGTTACTCAAGCAAGCCTCAAACCCCCATCAAGAAACCAGACAGTTCACATTGACATTTCTGATGGCTACCTTGGGCAGTCACCTCAGACGTCTGACCTAGGTTCAAGAGAGCAGATTCACCTCTCCTACAGAGACACTCGGACATCTCAGCCAATCTCAAGTGTTGGTCTCGGATCACTCTTGAATCAGCAGAAGCAGGAGAGGCAGAAGCAAAAGCAACGGAAGTGAATGAAAAAGGCACCACCTATGTCGCTCATGCTCACCTTGACCGACCAGCTTGCAAAATCTTCCCGCCTTCGGTACCAAAAACATACTGTCTGGGAGCCGAAGGCCAGTGAATTTTTAACACAGCATCTGATACGAAGCCTACAAGCACCGCCCGGCCCGTAGCCAGGATTTTTTTTCGGGAGGGGGGGAGGGGCTCAGAGATTTCTTTTGGGGGAGGGGGGGGGGGGTCGAGCTATCGCTGGAGAAAATTATAATCCTTGGAGAAGGGAACAAAGGGGCAAAAGACAAACACAAATCTCCAAACACAGATAGGTGACTGGTGCGCGATCAAACAAATCTGCCTGGTCCTGTTATCGAACCAGGGACCTCTCTGTTTCCAGTGGAGCGCTTCACCAACTGAGCTACCTAGGAGTTTTACGTCAGTAAAGCAAACAAGTTTTATCATGCTGCAGTTGCCACCAGTCTAACATCAACAAAATGAACGGCCTGCATTTTAGGTTATGATGATAATGCAATTGAATGCAAAGGTGCAAGCGAGCTGGACAAAATGACAATAATAATCCCTGGAGAAGGGGAACAAAGTATGAAAACAAATCTTTAACACAACTAGGTGACTGGTGCACGACCAGGACCAGGCTGATTTTTTCGGTCGTGCACCAGTCTCCTAGCTGTGTTAAAGATTTGTTTGTCCTGTGCCCCCTTTGTTCCCCTCCTCCAGGAAATATTATTGTCATAGTTACTAGGTGTTGCTACAAAAATCTGCTGAGCACCCCTTCAAGTCATGCAATAAGCCTCTGGTGAAGGTTCAAGATCCTCCTTCAAATTATTCCATAGTGTCTTTAGGGAATTCAAGTGGGCTTGAACAGCTTTGGTATCTGTCTCCCTAATGATGGCATAAATGTGTGTTCTCAGATTCAGGTGCCTCAACATCTGCAGCTGTGCAGCCTCCCCCAGCCCCAGTTCCAGTGAGCAGGGGCAACACACAAGGCGAGGCAGGGGGCGACAACTAAAGCAAGCAGAAGAGGCGCAGACCAGTGACAATGCTGAGCGAAATGCTACAGAAGATGGAGGAGTGGGAAATCGAAGACCGGAGACGGTACAACCAGCAGTTAAAAATGTAGCGTCTCAAGCTAAAACTGCTCAAACGTTTAGTGAACAGCCAACACGGAAGCTCCCAACAGTAAGCGTGTGGGTGAAAGGCATGAACGCATGCTAAGGGTTTGGGATGCCTTAAACTCGGTAGTTTTATAAAACAATGAGCACCTTGCATACATCCATAATTTATTATCCTGCAGCAAGTTCACTGTGATACTCATTTTTCTGGAGTGGTGACGTGCAATCCTGGAGTGATGAAGTGCAACACTTTATTTACAAGCATTTATTCGGAACTTACATAATCAAGTACAATGGTCAGTATTATGAAATATGTTATAAAACACATGGATTAAAACTTATATACTCAAGTAGATTGGTCAGTGTTATGAAACATGTTTTGAAATACATGGATTAAAAAAATTTAAAAATCCGAACTCTGAACAAATTGCATCTTTCTTCTCAGCAGCAAATAGATCAATTTCATCATCATGCACCCTGGCTGGCCGATTAGGGCTTCCGTCACCTTTGCCGTCATCAAAGCTAGCTGGGTGCTTGAGGATAAAATAGTGCGATATACATGGCATGACACGCATGCATGACACATGCACCATTTTTAAAATTAGGCTATCCCGCCCATGTCTAGGTACCTCATGCGCCCAAACTTTCCCTTTAGTTGTCTGATGGCACCCTCGATAACTGAGCGTGCTGCGCTAGGGCTGTTATTAAATATCAACTGCTGGCAAGAGTCAACCATCATCCCTACATGGTTTTATTAATAACACTTTTAGAGGACATGCAGTCTCCTGGGGACTCGGGAGATAGCTAGGGGGACACTGTCATTAAGCATTAGAAGGAAAGTATGTGGTATTCCCACAGCTCTCAAAGTGCTGAAGCCTCCATTAGATGGGGGCTTGAGCATAAGCATGAATGCAGGATCAACATTTCATTGGGTTTTAAAATGGCCCCCAAAATGAGCTACTCATAACAAGATGAAATTATCCTCTGCAATATATGCCGGACCTTGACTCAGCGATTGACATAACGGAACAGTTTATAGCGTGCATTTTTCCCTACAACACAAGCAGGTCAAAAAGCGACAAATCTCGTGTCTTGGCGATCCTAACCATAGGAAATAGAACATCCAACTTGCTATCTCACACACTAGCTTGTGTGATAGATCTGGAAGCACGAAAAAGAAGGCGAGGGACGAGATTGTGTTTTCGCACGCGTTATCTCGAGAAACGTCTCTTCGCAAAACTGTTAATAGCTGCTGTG